GATTGATTTTTGGTGTTGCCATGCTGCTCCATTATGCTATCGATCCCAGCTGAGTCTTTGGCCAACTCTATGCCCAAACAATCCCTGACATTTTGTCATTTTCCCAGCTGGGTATCCTGTATGCTGTGGGGAAACACTGCAGGAAGCAAGCAACGTTGACCGATTCCCTGGAGAATGGTTCAGAAGCAGTGGGGGATGATCTTCAAAGTCTTTGGCCCAGCTTAACAACGTCCCTTGATTTTTTTTCCGAACAGGTCCAAATCAAACCATGAATTTGGCATTTGACTAATGAAACGGCAAACTTCTCCTTCGGCATAAGAACGTTTCTGAACATCTTCTATTTCTCTGCGCTTTTCTTTTTTTTTTCCCTAGCGTGGTCTTGCCGGACCTCCAGGGCCGCCAGGTCCTCCAGGGCCCCCTGGCCTTCCTGGGGCTGAAGTCACCCACGAAGTCTTAATGCAAGAATTTAAAGACATGCTAAAAGGTAAAGCAGTTCTTTTCCGGCTCTTTGACTTTAACTAGAAAGGGAAAGATCAGTTCCGGAGTAATTGCAATTGCAATTTGCCATCCTTTTCCTTCCAGAAGCTACCGAAAGGCGGGCATCTCCAGTTCTCCCATCCCATCCCAGTGAGATGCCGGTGATGTTGGTGCCCCTGGAGGAGCTGTCTCTCTACCGGCGAGTGGAGGAAGCCTTCCATTGCAAGCTCAAGGGTCAAATCATCGTGGACAAGAAAACCTTGATGGAACTCCAGAATTTTCAGATGGTGAGGTCAAGCAGGAGCCCTTATTAGTTGTTTGGGGAACACACACACACACACACACACACACACACACACACACACACACCACAGGGCTTGATTACAATGCAAATAGATTTGGAGTCGGCTAGTAAGACTAGGGAACGCAGTGGCTCAGTGGCTAAGACGCTGAACTTGTCAATCAGGAAGGTCAACAGTTCGGTGGTTGGAATCCCTAGCGCCGCAGAATGGAGTGAGCTCCTGTTCCTCGTCCCAGCTTCTGCCAACCTAGCAGTTCGAAAGCATGTAAAAAAAAATGCAAGTAGAAAAATAGGGACCCCTTTGGTGGGAAGGGAGCAGCATTCCCTGCGCCTTCGGGGTTTAGTCCTTCCGGTCACATGACCACGGAGACGTCTTCGGACAGCGCTGGCTCTTCGGCTTTGAGACAGAGATGAGCAGGGGCTGGGAATGAACGTAATTCGCAGCATTGAAATAAAAAGAGAGTTGTTGGGACTCAGCGTGGGCTTAATTACGGTCTTAGGAAGCCTTGGTCAGAACAATCCTAGAGTTGTAGACAAGACTGGGTGGTCGGAAGTAAAAAGTCTCCAAAAAGTCAGTGGCAACCAGTTATATAATGTTGCCAAAAAAAACACAACCTCTCCACTGTCTGCATATCCATGTGGTCATCAGCAATCAAGGTTGCCCAGAGAAGATTTGTGGTAGGACTAATAGGAAAGCTGTGGAGCTGTATTGAATGGTGTTGGCTTCTTCCAACATTTGTTCTCTTTTGTGTGCCAGTTACATTTTGCCCTCCCTTTGTATGAGTTCTTATGAAAGATAGAGCCTCTGTTCCTGGGCTCTATAGCAGCTTAGCCTTTAAAAAAAAAAAAAGAAATATATGGTGGGGGGGGGGTTTGGGGGGTGGGGGGGGGGAAGTGTCTCTTGGAGTCCAGGCGGGGTCAAAGTTCCCTCCAAGGATAATGTTGGTGCCACTCTAATTGGCGTGGAGAAGACATCTTAATAGCCATCGGCGCACAGGCGAAGGTTGAATTGAGGCAGGCTGTGCTTTTCTAATTGGGCTTGGCAGATTTCTCAGACGCCTGCCCTGCCAGCCGGCACTCTTCGTGCCATCTTCGGCGCGGCTGAGCCAGGTGGGTTTTAGAGCATTTTTTTTTACAATGAGGTATCCGAGGCACGGGCTGCCTGTGGGCCCAGCCAGCCCGACGACAGAGTCCTGGCTGGTGGCGATGAAAAGAAAACGAGGCCTATCGTCACCCTTTCGTCGGGTGGGCGCATCCACAGCCATCACTGCACAGGACTCTTACTGGGCGTCTGATCCTCCTGCATCAGCGAACTGCCTTTACGAAGTGCAATTCTGATGGCTTTGAAGTATGTTTTCTCCTAAGCCACCGGGACAACATCCCTGCAAGGAGACCACCTGACTGCCCAAACTTAAGAGAGGGGTGACAACCTTCATTCAGGAACGGCGATCTTTTAAGTCACCAAAAAAAGGGAACCGTCTGAAGCACGCGGAGAGGAATATCGGGAACTTAGCAGGCACCCCAACATTGGGAAAAAGAGTGTTTAAAACCAAAATTAAGCAGGAAGGGTTTCATATCTGATGCAGAACAGGGAGTTGGACTACTAGACCATCTTCTATATTGCTTCAGATTCTAGCATAAACGGCAGCCACCCTATTATACTGATTTAATACCACTTTATAATGTTAATAGCCGGTTAATACTACTTTATAATGCCTTGGTAAGATCACATTTGGAATATTGCATGCAGCTTTGGTCGCCTGGATATAATAAAGATGTTGAGACTTCTAGAAAGAGTGCCAAGAAGAGCCACAAAGAGGATTAGGGGACTGGAGGCTAAAACATATGAAGAAGGGTTGCAGGAATTGGGGATGGCTAGTTTAATGAAAAAAGAATGAGTGGTGATATGATAGCAGTCTTCCAGTATTTGAGGGGCTGCCCCAGAGAAGAGGGGATCAAGCTATTCTCCAAGGCACCAGAAGGCAGGACAAGAAGCGATGGATGGAAACTAACCAAGGAGAGAAGCAACCTAGAACTAAGGAGAAATTTCCTGACTGAGAAGAAGCAATTGGAGGAACGAGTTGCCTCCAGAAGCTCTGGTTGCTCCGTCCATGGAGATTTTTAAGAACAGATTGGAGAGTCACTTGTCTGGAATGATATAGAGTTTCCTGCTTGGGGGGCAGGGTTGGACTACAAGACCGCCAAGGTCACTTCCAACTCTGTTATTCTGGTTTTTTTTTTTCTGATTGTGCTCAGTTGTGAAATCTTCAGGTGGAGGAGGACGGGAAAACTGAGCTTGGTATGTAATGCTTTGAATAAGTGTAAGATAGCTGGTAAGAATTCTCAACAATGAATGTTATTCCTATTGTGATAGAAGAAGAATTAAATTGCATTCTTTCGAAGCAGCACTGAGAGAAGGAATCTTAGCTGACTTGGAAGTAAAGTAAAGTATCAGAATTCAGTAAGGGAGGTTTAATGCCACCTTCGCGGGACACTTTCAACCAGTCCTATAATTGAGGAAAATGAATATTTTATTCCACCCTCAGCATATTCTACCCTAGACCACTGGACCACCGATTCCAAACACCAACATGTCTTTGTCTCTCGGACGTGAAATCAAATGATGCTGGGGGTTTGACCCTGGGACGGATTAAGAGCAAAGCAGATAACAGATAATCAGAGTTGGAAGGGACCTTGTAGCTCATCTAGGCCAACCCCCCGCCCAAGCAGGAGACCCTACACCATTTCTGACAGATGGGAATCCAGCCTCTTCTTCAAAGTCTCAAGTGATGACGCTCCCACAACTTCCAAAGGCAACTTCTGTTCCATGGGTTGATTGTTCTCCCTGTCAGAAAGTTTCTCCTTATTTCCAGGTTGAATCTCTCCTTGATCAGTTTCCCATCCATTATATTTTACTCCTGAGCGACAAACCATGGAAAGAATAGCAAAGCATTCTGGGACAGAGGAATGAGTTAGAAGGCAAGGATGGCTCCAGGCTGAGATCTGATTTGTGCTTCACATTTTCTTCCTAAGCGCTGGGGAGTTCTTAAAGAGAAATCAGCGAGGAGGTGGAAATAAGGAAGAATTTTTGTCTTGTCCCTAGGCCAGAATTAAACAAAGGATGGCAACTCCTTGTTGTAGTGTTTGAACCCAAAAAGATTCGGTGCTCCAAATGCAACAAGTTGTGCACTTGGAAGTGGGGGGCGGGGGAATGTTCAGGGAGGCTCACATAAGTATCTCATGGCTGTATCCCCCTTCCCCAGCTATAATTAAACCAATTTTGCAATCTTTGAGGCTTAAGGGCTGTGTCAGGGAAACTGGCGGATTGTTCTAACCGGCGAGCAGTTTAACCTATTAGCGTATCACGATTAATTCCATTCCTTCCCAGAGCACCACATTAATTCTTTCTCTTTGTGAGTGTGTTGAGAGACCGGGAGCGAGACGTGAAGAAACAGGAATGTTTTTTCAAGCGGCAATTTACTGGTGCCGGAAAACTGCTTTCTGTTTTCAAGTCAGCGGTTTTGAGGGGAATTAAGTCACTGCCTTCTGATTTTTTGTTTAATTGGTTTTAATGAAACAGGCAAAGGAATTGGAACTGTCAGAGAGCACTGCCATCTCCAGAGAAGAAGGGAGGAGTGAACCTTAGACGGGGATCAAAGAACCGTGAGGAATATTGAGACGGAGAAGCCCGAGTCTAATTTCTTCCTCGTCCACTTTCTAAACCAGTATTTCTTTTTTTAAACTTGGCCACTTTTGAGATATGTGGACTTCATCCCCCCCAGAATTCTCCGTAATGGCTGGAAAATTCTGGGAGATGAAGTCCACTCGTCGTAAAGTTTCCAAGTTTGAAAAACACGGATCTGAGCTTAGGCCTTCAACGCAGGAGCCTTTCCTGGCCATCGCGCACATCCGTTGTAACCTTTTGGCAAACAGGCATTATAGATTGTTTTCAGACGTCTTTTCTCACTTTTTTCCCCAACAAAGCAAGCCCAGTTCAGTTCAGGATCAAGAGGCAAGGAAAAGAAATGGGGTTGAGCCCGAAATTCTTGAATACCCAACCCCGTTTTTCTGCTCCCACTAAAGTGCCCCCCAAGTCTGCCATAATGTCCTGTAATCTTCCCCAGTCTGATTGCACGCCACTTCATATAATGGCTAAACAGTAGTTAAGTAAATATGATCTAAAAGGATAAAGTGAGGGGTTTGGGAGGAGGAAAATAAGGGGGGCAGAATTCTGCCTCTGCCTGCCAGCATCCATTGGTATTCATCTGGCTAGTGTTCTGTCAAATGTGTGAGAGAGTTGAGGGCTGCTGGGAAACTGAAACAGTATTTGCTGTGTGAGCAAGGAGGAGACAGTATGGAGCCTCGGTGTGGCTTAACTCAACTGTTCTGTACTAAAGCTGCTTGGTGCCCTCAAACTGAAACTGAAACTCCTCTCCTCTGCTTGTGTTTTGCATTTGGAAGAGATTTCTTTTCAGGTGGGGAGGGGGAGTAGAACTCCTTAGCATCAGAGCGTGTTAATAATAATAATAATAATGTAGGAAATACTCTAAATGCTCTGATGGTCATTTTGAAAAATCCTTTCTTAGTGAGCAACGGTTCTGGAGATTTTGTGTTGATGCGTGAGTGGTCTTTCGCTTTTATATATATATAGATTATTATTAATATTACTATTATTGCCATGTCAGAATTGGCGAGGGGGCAGCGAGACTAACTTGGCAAGGTAAAATCATGCCTCTCTGCCGCCTTTCCAATTCTTGAGAGGGCAATCATAAGATGCCAAATTCATAGATTTCCACCACCTCCCCGCAAAAAGTTCAGTAAAGTTCATTTCTCTTCCCCACCCCCACCCCAACTCCCGAATTTGAGCCAAACCCGCATCGCATGAGCCAAAACTAACAATAAACATGCCACGCTGGGTTTATTTTAACTTAACTCCGATAATCTTCCCTGCACGCAGCCTGTCTAGAATGAGTCGCTTGTCGGGGAGTTGCTAAACCAGTGGCTTTAGGCCTGCTCAATTGCCCCAACCGCCTTTTATAAAATAACAAAGACCCTGAGCTTTAGGCTCTGCAGAAGAAAGCAATTTAGGTTGCTTGGGGGAGGTGTGAGATTGCCTGGAGCGCTTTTGGGCTAGTCATCTTTTCTTTTTAAAAATAATAATAATTTTTTTTTTAAAAAAAAGACTTTTTGGGGGCCTCCTTTTGAAATCCCACAGATGTTTTGCAGACATAAAAAACAACAACAGGTCTCCGAGTATTTGTCCATTTGGCTCTGCTGTTTTTCTTTCAAAGGTTTTTGGGGGATTTTACACCCCCACCCCCCTTTCCTTTCCTTTATCCTTCTTCAATTGGAAATGTTGGTAATTGAACCTGCAAACCTTTGAACATAAAGATGTTCAAACCAAGGAGGTAAAAATCCCTCTCTGTGTGATGACCCAGAGTGTACCACCAACGTAACAAAATCCAAAACGTAAATAAATGTCCTTTCAGGCCTCCAACTTGGCCCCACTGTTCAATAATACTCAGTTGGAGATAAAACGGGCTCAAAAATAGTCTTCAAAAGAAACCAATGCAGTCTGAATTTAATGAGCAGATAGAGGTGAAATAAAAAACCAAACAAACTCCAATGATGAAATTTCCACAACGGAACAGAAGTATTTACCAAATTCAAAGCAGATAACAAGGCACAGTCTGTTGGAAGGACGCCAACCAAGATAACTTCAGACCAAAATAAAACACGCTTTGTTTCCAGCGTTCGCCAGTACGCAGGTCCAAACTCTTACGGAGTTCTCACACCTACAGCCCATGAAGAGGATCAAGGCCCTCTCCTCCCGAGTAGACCACATCTCTCCCTTATCCTCTCCTCCCTGCGTGACCTAGGATGGATAAGGGATGGGCCTGGGTCCTCCTCTGACTGCCCAGCCGGCCTCTGCCCTTCCCCAGCCTCCTCACAACCTCCGGAGCCACACTCCCACTCCCTGTTGGCTGTTCCTCCTCTTCCTCAGAGTCAGACTCCACCAGGGGCATGACACTCTGCGTTAGCTGAGAGAGCTCAAGGCCAGGCTACAGGTGATGACCCTTTTGTAACGCACAATAAAGATCTTTCCAAAGTTCTTCCAAAAAAAAACAAAAATTCACCTAAGAATGTGCAAAATCTTGTTTTCTCTGACATGTTATTGTCCTGGGTTGCTTGACTGCATGGATTTGGCAGCTTCTGAAACAATTTTTAGAAAACTCAGTAGATATGTTGCCCTCAAGGTCAACGCAAGAGCGAGAAGATGGATTGTGGATAGGAGACCACCCGGAAATCATCATGGAACAAAACAACAGGAAATCACTTCAGTTCTGTTCCTAAGAGGTAGCTCGACACCATCATCAGAAGTTGAGTTTCAGGGTCTTACCTGTTCATGCAACACCGGTTACTCTTTTCCCAAACAAGGCAACAGAAAACTGAGAGGAAGCACAACCTGGTTTTCCAAAATTCATATAAATTCTGGGTGGGAATTTGTGACCTGCTGCCATTCTGTCAAACTTGATGAAACAATAGAAGAACGGAATGGCACAATAAGCAACGACAGTTCTGCTAAAAAATATTTCCAGTCTTTTTCCTTCAACTTTACTGAACGTACATTGTTTTGCATTTTTTCCAGAGGACAGTTCTCATTTCTGAGGTTCTACTTATGTAGTTATGAAAGTGACTAGGAGGGGCAGAGAATCTCATGACAGGTTCTGTCAGTGTACAATTCTCTCTCCTGAATTTTGCAGCCTGCTAGTCTCCAGAGGGAAATATATGTGGACTTTTTTTTTTTTAAGATCAGGAAGCATAGAGACTAACAGAGAGCAGCCATTAGCAGTCCAGACACTGACAATAAAATAAACAAAAATACTTCAAGAAAATTTGAAAGAAATTTAAAAAAAACTTGCTTTAAAAAAAAACCCTCAGAAATTCCTTTTGCACAGGAATATAATTTTCAGGAACTTTAAAGGCATTTATTTTTTTGTGGGGGGAGAGAAAATTGGAAAGGCTGAAGACAGACACGATGTATATAAACCTAGCTGACTACACCTCTTGCATATTATGGAATGGGAATAAAGACTGGTTGAACTGGTGGGAATATTAATAGAATAATAATTCTGTTTTTCCCCTCCTCTTTCTCACACAGCCTTTAGCCAAAGGATCTTTTCTCCGAGGATCCGGCTTAAATTTAACAACTGGGAGGTTTACAGCTTCAGTATCTGGCATTTATCAGTTTTCAGCCAACGTCCATGTAGGTAAGTGATAGAATTTATTTATGGTATGGGTTCAAAAACTATTTTTTTTTTTCCATAGGCAATTTTCTGGTTTAAAAGAATGAATATTACCCCCAACCTCCCCCCCCACAAATCTATGCCGCTAAAGATCAATGGCCAGAAAACACAAGATGTCTTTTGCTCAAAGAATGGACAGAATAAAATCAGTGGAAGAGTCCGGTATACATTTTACACTCCAACACACATTCAAAATTCTTCTGCTGGTTTATCCTGCATCATTATTTTCAAATACTGATAATTATTGGCTGCTGCTGATAATCACGGGCATAAAAAGCCTTACTAGCTACAGATCCTAATACATTTAAAGCTTGGTTTTTTACTACCAGTAACTTCTATGTTTAACAGGTTGCATAAAGAACCTTTTGTGGACAAGAAAAGAAACAGTGGCTAAATTTGTCCACTGTTTTCCTTTTCAGAGAACAGTGAGGAAGTGTACGAGATTAATTGATGGCGAAGAGGGCCAAGCAGACCCGATTCATGCGCTAGCTTAGTTACACAATGCTGTGGTGCTGAATCTTCAGGACCTTGGACAGCTCCAAGCATACAAATAGCCAGGCCTGTTTTATCCTTCTTGGGCAGTTTATAACAAAATGGTTAACATGAAAAACAATAATAATAAACATATAAAAATATAAAAGTAATAAGAATTATGATTAATAGTACAAGGCAAGATTGAAATTCCAAAAGCCCCTGTCTGCAAACTGTTATTGTAATCTATATATATAAAAGCGAAATACCCCTCACGCATCATCACAAAATCTCCAGAACCGTAAAGCCTACAAACTTGAAATTTGGCACGTTATGTTCTTCTTGGCTTCTAGGTGCTCACTAAAAAAGGATTTTTTTGAAATGACCATCAGAGCCATTAGTATTTCCTATATTATACACGCTCTGATGCTAAGGAGTTCTACTCCCACTCCCCACCTGAAAAGAAATCTCTTCCAAATGCAAAACACAAGCAGAGGAGTTTCAGTTTTAGTTTCACAGCAGCAAGCGGCTTTAGTACAGAACAGCTGAGCTAAGCCACACCCAGGCTCCTTGCTGTCTTCTTCTTGCTCACACAGCAAATACTGTTTCAGTTTCCCAACAGCCCTCAACTCTCTCACACACGGACAGGATGCTAACCAGATGAATACCAATGGATGCTGGTAGGCAGAGGCAGAATTCCTCCCCCACCCACTTATTTTCCTCCCAAAAAACTAAGCCCGATCACATAGTTTCATAGCGAAGCACGGGTATCCAGTTAGTCAATTCATAGAACATTTGCCACGGCTTCAATCCCAAATCATTCCAAATATTAACCCCAATTGGTCCCAGATGGAAGATCCATGTTTGTTTCTTAATTCCATCTCTTATCAATTGCTGATTAATTCAATACAATAAGTCCAATCTCCAAAGTCCATCTATCAATTGGCTTTCATCCATCCTCAGCCTTCCATCCTTCCGAGGTCAGTAAAATGAGGAGCCAGATTGTTTGGGACAATATGCTGACTCTGTAAACCGCTTAGAGAGGCCTGCAAAGCACTGTGGAGCAGTATATAAGTCTAAGTGCTATTGCTATCTTTCCTCCGCAAAAAAGACAAATAAGATCATTCCTCAATATTACATTTAATTTCTCACTCTCCTTCAAGACCCTTAAAAAGAAGAGAAGGACCAGAGGAGACATGAGAGCAGTCTTCCAATATTTGGGGGGCTGCCCCAGAGAGGAGGAAGGGGTCAAGCTATTTTCCAAAGCACCCGAAGGCCAGACAAGGAATAACGGATGGAAACTGAACAAGGAGAGATTTAACCTGGAAATAAGGACCATTTCTTTCAACCGGGCCAAGAAATTGTGGTCAGGATGTAAAACCGATTGCAAGGCCAATGCTGGAAAATCCATTCCTTGTGCACTGAACGTTCTTGAATGCTAAAACAGAAATGCTTCCTTTTCAACCTTTCTTTCTTTCTTTCTCTCCAAGACCACAGTGAGCTGAAAAGTAAACTGCAGCTCCGAGCAAGAGATAATGTCCGAATCTTGATCTGCATTGAATCCCTTTGCCACCGATATACGTAAGTATATTGAAGTGCTTGAATTGTGGGTTTGTTTTATCCAGGAACACTGGAGCTCTACCACAAATTATCTTTGACATTTTTATTCAGTTCCTCCTGCCTCTTCTTTCCCAGGTGCTATGAGATCTTTCTTTATATACTGTTCTATTTTCGTAAGTGTCCTCTTCCTTATCCCATGATTCCAGTTTATTCCTTCCCTCCAATCCTCTGTTTTTCAGCTTTTTTTCAATCTCTTTAGCCTCTTAGCCGAATTCATTGGGCCTCTTTTGGCTCCATGGCCAAATGAAGGAATACATCACACACTTAAAAGAGTTTTATATTTCCGGGTTTTCACTAGCCTACTAATGTCTCTCTTTTGGATGCTGTATTTTAGTAAATACTATAGCAGCCATTATCTGGAAGTTACAGACAGGAAAATGAGAGCATGAGGCAGAGACAATCAAAGATGCTCTTTACAATGAAACTGAAATCTCCCAGTTAAGAATCATGGTTTAGAATAGAATAGAATAGAATAGAATAGAATAGAATAGAATAGAATAGAATAGAATAGAATTCTTTACTGGCCAAGTGTAATTGGACACACAAGGAATCTGTCCTTGGTGCATAAACTCTCAGTGTACATAAAAAGAAAAGATACATTCGTGAAGAATCAAGACTCATAAGGTACAACACTTAATAATAGTCATTGGGTACAATAAACAATCAAATCACACTAGGAAACAGTCAATATAAATCGTAAGGATACAAGCAACAGTCATACAGTCACAAGTGGGAGGGGATGGGTGATACGAATGATGAGAAGATTAATAGTAATACTAGTGCAGACTTAGTGAATAGTTGGACAGTGTTGAGGGAATTATTTGTTTAGAAGAGTGATGGCATTTGGGAAAAAACTGTCCTTGTGTCTAGTTGTTCTGGTGTGCAGTGCTTTATAGCATTGTTTTGAGGGTAGGAGTTGAAACAATTTATGTCCAGGATGTGAGGGGTCTGTAGATATATTCCCAGCCCTCTTTTTGACTCGTGACATATACAGGTCCTCCATGGAAGGCAGGTTGGTAGGAATTGTTATTTTCTGCAGTCCTAATTCCTCTCTGGAGTCTGTGTCTGTCCTGTTGGGTTTCAGAACCAAACCAGACAGTTATAGAGGTGCAGGTGACAGTTTAATAGCGACACGTACAGTATAGTGCTTATTAGCATCTTTAAATCTGTTGATCCTTGATTGGCCCACAGTAGGTGGCAGCTCCCGTCTATTCACCTTAATTGATTTCAAAGCCAAACAGTACCAGGCCTGACTAATATTTGGATTGGAGACCACTTGGAAATCTGAAGTTTAAAAGGGAAGGCCGAAAACGTTCCAGAAGAAGGCCATAGCCAATGATTTCTTTACAGTTGGCCAATAATCAAGATGGGCTTGTCTTGAAGTCCCTGGGAGCAGGGTTACTCTTCAACCCAAAGACCTGATTTATTTTATCCCTCAAAAACATTTCCCCCCCTGGCTGAAATGATCCCAGGGTGGTTTGCCAGACTGAAAGGAAATGAGGGGGAAAAAAATCAATTTGTTGGAAGAAGGAATGAAAAAAAAAAACAGCGGTGGTTTTTTTTTTTCAACAGTCTGATATCTACTGTAAGGCTGCACTGAAGGTTGCAAATGCCCAGATTGCTCTTATGAGAGGAGAAAAATTGGATTGTTTCTTTCTTTGAACTATTTTTGTGCAATGTTGGCATCTTCTACCCTTTAAGACCAAGACAAAGACAACACAGCTTAACAGTTAATGTTGCCGAGTTTATACATCTCTGCTCAGAAACAAGCCCCAATGTGCATAATAAAACTTCTGGCCAGTTTGGAAGAGGCTCCGTATCTTTTTCCCCAAACGAGGCTTGTAGAAGCCTAGGGCAGAATCCGCTAAAGAAGTCGTGAAGGGGAGAGGAGAACAAGGGTTTATAGTACTTCAGTAAGTACTATAGTTTACCAGACTGTTGTAATCTGTGAAATATGGCCGGCTTTGTCAATCTGAGACCCTCCTTCTTACTTGATGTCATCTCAGTAGTTGGATCCTGGCCAGAAAATGACTGTCTCTTTCATTTTGTCCCTGCCTAGATCTTTGGAGGTTATCACTGGGCTGGAAAGCAACAGTAAAATTTTTACCGTTTACGTTCATGGATTGCTCCAACTCCAGGTAAGGATTATGCAACAGACGGTTCAGATTAATTCTGAGATTTCCAAGAATTTTGCCCCCAATCTGTTTTCTGTGTCCAGTTGTCCTGTCCAGCGAGTCCAGTTCCAACCAGGACATTCTAGGAATTTACACTAGCTTAAAGGCTGGGTGTCAGAGGACACCGGGGTGGATGGTTATGTCAGAGATCTTTTGTCACCAACTGAGTGAGACGTCATCAAGATTCAATTAGTTCTTCTGGGACACTGCGCAGGGTCCCCTGCTTGAGAAAGGGGCTGGACTAGAAGACCTTCAGGGTCCCTTCCAGCTCTGTTCTGATTGACCGTCACAAATATGAACCAGTTGCCAAGCACTCAAATTTTGATCCCATGACCAATGGGAATTGCTGCAATGGGCACAAGTGTGACAAATGGTCATTAAGCCATGGTGGCCCAGTGGTTACAATGCAGTACTGCAGGCTACTTCTGCTGACTGCCGGCTGCTGGCAGTTCGAGTCTCACCGGCTCAAGGCTGACTCAGCCTCCCATCCTTCTGAGGTGGGTAAAATGAGGACCCAGATTGTTGGGGGCAAGAGGCTGGCTCCATAAACCACGTTGGAAAGCACTGTAAAGTGGTATATAAGTCTATTGCTCTTCCTTCCTTCCTTCCTCCCTCCTTCCATCGCTTCCCTTCCCCTTCCTTCCTTCCATCCATCCATCCATCCTTCCTTCCATTAGAATGCAGTATTGCAGGCTAATTCTGCGCGCAGCCAAGAATTTGATCCTGACTGGTTCAAAGTTGACTCAGCCTTCCATCCTTCCGAGGTCAAATGAGGACCTGGATTGTTGGGGGCAAGAGGCAGACTCTGTAAACCACGCAGGGTGGGCTGCCAAGCACTGTAAAGCGGTATATAAATCGAAGTGTAACTGCCATTGCTACTGTTATTAAGTCACTTTTCCCAATAATGTTGTAACGTCAAACATTTCCTAAATGAACGCTGTAAATTGAGGATTACATGTATACGGTTTTCTGCTTGAGGACTAGATGACCTCCAAGGACCCACCCAACTCTGTTATTCTGATTTGTTGATTAAGCCAACGGAGGTTTGGCATCCATGTCCTGTACGGCGCATTCATTTTCCCTCTTCCTGTCTCCCGTTTTCCTTTGGCATCCGCGGCACAGGCTGGACAATACACCTCCATCTTCGTAGACAACAGCGCTGGGGCCCCCGTGACCATTCAGAACGGATCTGACTTCATGGGCATGTTTGTGGGAGTCTAATTCCCAAGACAATCTGCAAGGGAGAAAGAGGGAGGGGGGGGAGAAAACGCACCCGGCCGCCTGATGGACAAGCTTGAACTCTGAACCCTACCTGCCCACCTTCGCTCCGCCATCAACGTTCTGCAGCCAAATGAAGCAAACGTCTTCTACCCCCCCCGCCTCCCCCAGGAGGCCTAGCAAACAATCCGAGAGAAAGGGAGAAGATCGTTTTCAACGCGGAACCCAAAAAGCCAGATCTACTTTCCTTCCATGGACAGATTCCAGATTTTCCATCTCAGTCCCGAGAGCCAAGGAAATCTCTCCCTCTCTGATTCCAATAAGGCGGCATCGGAGTTTATTGGTAGAATCAGTGTTTCTCTCCTATATTGCATGCTCAGGGGATCTGCCTGGTCCTTGAAAAGCTGCTGCCAATGCACGTCGACAAGTTGATGGACTAACACTCAAGTAACGTTGCTTATGTTCCCCAGCTTGTGTTCCAAACCAGCCAACCAGATGGTTGTGAGAAAGGCGTCAGTAGGACAGCCAAATCCTCTCCCTTTTCTGATCCCCAAGGAAACGAATAGTGGGTGATACGCTGAGAATGGCCTCAGAATTCTTCTCTGTTCCAATTCAAGGCAGGTCATTTTCTGATCCTCTTCTCATTAAGAGTTGGGACCCTTTTAGATTTACCTTAATATTTACAAAAGGCTTGCAACCTAGGGCCAATTTATACCTGGGCGAAGAATTCTTCCGGTTAAGTCATTTTATTAGGAGCAGCTAATTTGACCTTGAGTGCTTTCTAAAGGGGTAACGCTGCAGGGCCTTCCATAAATGCCTTGGAAAGGAAGTGGCTTGGTTCTGCTACTTTGGTTGCAGAAAAACCCAGTTTTAATTCTCAGATCTCTGGAAGGGCTAGCAAAGCTTCTTACCCAAAATTCTGGAGAGCAATCAAAGTGGCTCAGAAAAAAAACAAAATGTTTCTCTCCAAAGGAAGTCTGAGATATAATGATTGAAATAATTATACCGGCCAAATCTAACCTGAAAAGGTTTATTTTGATTTTGGGTTAGGAGACAAGACCGTGTCGATTGAAAAATGACATATCCACGCTGGCATAGCTTAAGTAGCAGATTCTCTCTTCTCACATTTGTCATTTGTGTTACACTCTTGATACCTGCTTCCAGTGGTTTTTCACAGTTTACTCCCATGCCTTGGTACCAGGGTGGGCCGGCGTGTGTGCTTTTAAACGGACCCTCCTTAATTGTTATTATAATGGAAAGACGTGTATATTATTTAAACTCTTCCTGCTTGACCTTAAGATCCCAGCCTTAGCATCGGAAGGGTGTGCCAAACCAGATCAAAGCGAAGCTTCAACCCGAACTGATTTCTGTTGAGACAGAACCGCTGGCTTTGTTGAGATCAATTGCAAGTGAAGGGAGAGGATGAACACGATTCTCTGCCTCGCACAGACCCCCCAAAAGATGGACACACATGTGCACGAGAACTGCAGGAGCGAATAATCCAGTCTCCCTTCTTTAGAGAGGGCTGAAATCAAGTGTACAACCCTGGATTGTTGGAAAGGGACAACGATGCGAACTTGGGAGGGTGCTGAAGAAGAATGGCAGGCAAGCCACCCCATTCGGACTTTCGTGGGATTTAAAGGGAGTTAGGGAGCTGGGTATGTGTTCCTTTTCCTTTTCTTGGGGGCTGCTGGACATCTTGAGAAACACACACTGTTGTCAGGATAACAGACGGAATTGTAGAAAGAAGGATCCACGGACATTAGGGTCCCCGTTCTTTTCCTATGTTCGGTCCTGGACTAGATGATCAAAACAACGGACCTTTTTTCCTGCTGGCTGGGTGACACTTTTTTATTTGATTTGATTTCGAGGTTGAAGAAGATGTTAAAAAAAAAAATGGAGGCGGGGGGTGGGTGGGAACACATTTTCAAAGCGAGTGCGACCATTATAGCAAAATGTCTTGGCTTTTCTTTACTGTCTTATGTTTTAATAAGATGCATAAATAAATCTGTATATTTAGCCGCATTGTATATACACTGTAGTCTCCCCTCTTCCCCTCTCTCCCTGCCAGGGTGAGTCTAGAGAGTTTTTAAACAGATCACAGCACCACCAGGTTGTTTGCCAAGTGGTCTGGCACGATACAAGCCGGCTGGCAAGGTCCATGTTGACTTTTCACGTAAGGATCCAAGAGGGCAAGGAATTGCAATTGTGCTGCTTTCAAGGAAGCCTGAAGCTCCGCGTAGGAGACGGGATCCTGGCTAGCTTTCCACATCCCTTCCGAAGCCTAGAGATCCCTTGTGAGATTCAGACTGTGTCCGCTCTATGCCGCCTCTTGCGCGTGGTTCTTCCCTCGCTTGAATTGAGACGGTAGCAGGGATTCCAATATCTAAGGGGCTGCCGCAAAGAAGATGGCCGGAGGGGCGTTCTCTCAAGGAGAGAAGCAGTTTAAAACTAAGGGCGAATTTCCTGACAGCAAAGACAGCAATTAATCCGTGGCACTGCTTACCTCCAGAAGTTGTGGAGGTTTTTAAGAAGAGATTGGACAACTGGAATGTACGGTTTCCTGCGTGATCAGGGGGGGTTGGACTAGAAGACCTCCAAGGTCCCTACCAACCCTGTTAATGCTGTTAATGAAAGACGAGGCTCTCAAACCCCACCCCCCAACAGCAACTCAGCTTAACAATAACAGAAAAAGTATTGAAAAGGTAACCCCGGAGAGGCAAAGAAGAGGGTTAAAAGAGGGATTTTAACTGAAAAAGAATTTCGAAATGAGGGAGGGACCACGATATCCAGGAAGCTACCTGCTCATTCCTTGTAAACCTCCTCCACAAATATCGGTGGGGAAACCCAAGTCACTTTGTCACCAAACTACCTTAAAAGGACGCAGGGCCTGGAGCCTGCTTAGATCACCGATGGCGCACGTGAGAACGATCCTGTGGGAGAATGCGAACCTAAAATGCTGGGAGCATATCGGGAGTTGGTGCCGTTTGGGGTTGTGGGATTCGTGGGCTTTTCCCGTTTTCCCAGGCTGGCAAGGATCAGCAACGACCAGTCTGGCTGGGAAGCATAGCCAGGTGACATCTCCACCTGCTCATCCGTGACCCGGATGAAGTTTTGTTTTTGTTTCAAGCAAAGGAGATATTTGGACTGAAGAAGGCTTGCCTACCATCAAGCCACGGATGGATTGTAGCAAATGAAAGCGAACAAAGCTACAAGCGTGAGGAAGGTGCAATTCTTTTTTTTTTTTTTTCTGACGTTGCACGGATGCCTTTAGCATCTTAGGTTCCTCTCCTTCAAATCAGGACTTGCTGGCCATGTTAGAAATCAAATCAATACGAATACCGTACGGCTTACCTATTAGACAGTTCACCATTGCTAATGCCACCATCAACCCATTTTAGTACTCTGACAGCTCCCTGGCTCCGCTCTCCTATTCTCCCTGGCAGAGTTTCGAACAAGTTACATCGTTTTTAAAGCCCTTCTTCAGATTTCAGGGTTTGGGCTTGTTGTTTTTTTTGTAAATGAGTTTGATGCCACGTTCCAGACTGACTCCATGGGTATTTATGTTGGATTAGCAGCGGTTTTCTGCCTTCCCTCACCAGAGAAAAAGAGACGAAAAGCAGTGGGTATATAAACTTCTTCTGAGTGGCAGCGAGTTTAACCCTTTCTAAAAAGAACTCTTTCCCTATCTTATTCATAGTTTGCAAGGAGCAAGTTAAGAAGTACTGATCCAAGATAAAACCGTGCATCCCCATTGGAAGAATTGAGGAGCCCCTAATTTAAAGGCACGCAACTTACACCTCTGTGCACTGGGTGTTGCAGAAACTGGAGTCGTGAGCTTCAGAATCAAAGAAACTCCCCAGATTGCTGGGATCTTTTAAGCCAGATTCTTGCAGTGGCTCACTTCACTACTGTTTCTTTAGCCCAGATCTCGGGACAATTTCCTCCCAAAGAAATTAGTCTCCCCTAATTGGCAATACTGCTTCCCCTGCTCCAGGCATTTTGATTCGGTTAAATTGAAACAACTAGCATGTATGTGTGAGGGGAACCTTTTCCTTTACATCTACCTTTATGCTGAAATCTAAGTGGGGAAATGCATGCATTAAATTAAAACAAGCGTACATTTGCTAAGCTACAGCTGGCAGTTGTACAGACAACCAACCTGAAGGCAGCTGGCGACCTGCAGGTTAGCTTGCCATCTTTTCTCCCACGGATAGAGGCTCTCCTGCCAGGAATGCTTGCAGTTCAGGCAGGAATGTTAACACTGGCCAGCTCATTCTCCTGCTGTAGCTTGCAGGTTCCCAAGCTGCCTGCAAAAGAAATCAGACAACTATTTTTATCTCGGAGCTATAAAGCTAAGCATTTGTATATTGACTGCCGTCTGCGGCTTCCTGATTGATTGGAAGCCTCTGTTTGCCAAATCCGCCATTTTTCAGTGCTGAGCCACTCCGTGCAGGAAGCAGGAGAAAGATTATAGACTGATCCCTTTTTCTTTGTGACACTCCCTTAGATATTGGAACACTACTATCATGTCATCCCTCGGTCATCTTTTCATTAAAACTAGACATACCCAGTTCCTGCAACCATTCTTTGTATGTTTTAGTCTCCAGTCCCCTCATCATCCTGGTTGCTCTTCTCTGCACTCTTTCTAGAGTCTCCACATCTTTTTTTATAGCGGGGACCAAAATATTCCAAGGGCGGCCTTACTAGGGCATTATAAAGTGGTACTAAACTTCTATTTCTCTGTTAATTCAGCCAAGCATTACATTGGCTTTTTCGGCAGCTGCAGCACACTACTGGCTCATATTGAAGTGATTGTCCACTAGGATTCCAAGACCCCTCCCACAATTACTACTATTCATCCAGGTCCCACCCATATTATACCTGTGCATTTTTTAAAATGTAGAACCTTAGTTTTCTCACCACGGCATTTCATTTCATTGATTCTTGACAAATGTATCTTTTCTTTTTATGTACACTGAGTTCATAGGCTTCAAGAAAAATTCCTTGTGTGTCTAATCACACTTGGCCAATAAAGAACTCATTCATTCATTCATTTTGTTAGTTAGGGCCCGGTGTTCACGTCTGGAACGGAGCAATGAAAAGGTGGAAAGAGATGGGCTTTGGTGTGGAATTGGAACAAGTGGCTTGTTGCATTCCTTGTCACTCACTTAGTTCCTTTTCTTTCACGCCCTGCTTATACAACACACTGCATGTGTGTTGCAACAAACACAACAATCTCCCTTCGTGTGCCAAAGGAAGGGAATGTCTCTTCCAAAATGACTCCTGCAACAGAAGAAGCATGCTCCCAGCATTGAT